TATTACTTGCACGATTTCGTACACTTACGAATAGCCTGTCAGTGACTATGGAAGGGGCACATGAAAGTATAGACCTTGAATTTTTTTACCAATCCCCTTCAACTTGCCACTTCAGAGGTCCTGGATTAAGCAAAAATCAGGATAAAAGGTAATGGCACAATTATTGGATAAAGTATGTTTTGATACTGAAAACAAATTATATTTGAAATCTGGTAAATGTAACACATGATCTAGACTAATTTGGTCATCTATCTTAACAGATCCAGTGTGCCTAATTCTAGTTTTCATTCCATTGGGTAGGCCAACATAAGTATTTGGGTTAGAATCCATATCAACAGGTGAAGTTAACCTAGACCTTCTACTAATCATGTGATCTATTGCCCCTGAATCTATTATCCAATTTGCAGTATCATTAAAGCAAGATAAGAGTGATGTTGATATACCTGCTACATTGGCCGATGTTAAGACATTTTCTTTTCCAAGTAATTGAAGGAGCTAGGAATACTATTCTGCTGAGAGAATTGTGCCTAGTGAACCCTTTGATGTATTCACAGAAGTGTTAGCAGCAAGTATTATTTGTGCATTAGACTGTGTATGCACTTGATTAGCTGCTAACTTGCCTTTTGACCCATTCATCTTTCCTTTGTAATCAGCTGGATAACCATGAATCTTGTAACATGTGTCTCGTTTATATCCCGACAAATGAAAAAAATCACATTCTATATAGGGCTTATTCCTTTGGTATTTAGAATTGTGATTCTGTCCCTTCTACGTATTCTGCACATAGAGTGCAGTGGTCACATCTGTACCAACAGTAGCCCCCGACAAAATCCTCTGACTTTCATCTTGATTCACAACCAAATAAGTTTGCTTGACCAAAGGCAATGGCAACATCACTAGAATCTAGCTCCTCAACATAGAATAAGTGTCATTCAACCCTATTAAAAACTGCAACAACCTCTGTTGGTTTAGATGTTCCAGATACGCCTTAGTTGATGCACTATCTGGAGGTGGTAAGCTTATCAATGAGCTCAGTTCATCCCACAATACTTTTAGTTTGTTATAATAAATAGCCACAGACATGCATGGTACCTTGCGTGAGATTAACAATCTCCCGATGAATCCCATAAATTCTGGTTCCACTCACCTTATCGTACTGTTCTTGTAGGTCCTGCCACACTTGATATGCACGGGTGGAATAAACAATTCCATTAAAGATTTCTTTTGAAACCGTGTTAAAGATCCAAGCTAAAACCAGTGAGTTGCATCTTTCCCATTGTGCACCCAAGCTTGGATCTGATGGTTTCTTGCACGTGCCATCAACAAAACCCAACTTATTCTTAGCTCAGAGTGAGACCGCCATGGCCCTACTCCAGATGCCATAATTCTCAGTGCCAATGAGTTGTTCTGCTACCAACACTGACCCTGGAGTGTCCGATGAGTGAATGTACAGTGGTGAGTTTGAATCTGTAGGATTCATTATCGCTTCACTGCCAGAATTCATTATCTTGTACAATCTAAACAAGTCTTGTAATCGAAAGCTGAGCAAATCTTGAAATCGAGATCTGAATTGAGCAAATCTTAAAATCGTAAGTTGAGCAGATCTGAACTGAAACTGATCAAGATCTGAGTTGAGTAGATCTTGAAATCGTAAGCTGAACAGATCTGAACTAAAACTGATCAAGATCTGAGCTGAACTCTTGAACAAATTGATCCTTAATTGATCGCAAAAGGAATAAGTTGAATCAAGAAATCAATGAGTGAACTCTTGAACAAAGTTATTCCTAACTGATCGCAAAAAGAAACTAATTGAATCAAGGAATTGATGGGCTTAAAGTCAAGAAGATCAAACCCCAGAGCTCTGATACCATATTAGATTTTAAGTAGAAGAGAAAAAATTATGCAGAAGAGCATTTCATTCATTGACGGGAATTACACCCATTTTCTCTTTTGTATCTTAAGCATATACAACACTTTTCAGCTAACGTATCTATAGTGAATTTACTCAACTAACCTCAGCTAACTACATTTACTCAACTACTCTCAGCTAACTACATTTATAACCATTTTGTTACATTTACTAAAAACACAAGTTTACACTATACTACATTTGACTAATAGTCAACATTAGATTGAACTAAATAGAGCTGGCTAAATAGAGTTGAATATATCTTCAATAGACCGTTAATAGACCGTTAGGCCACCCAGTGGTGGTTTCTTATAATTGTTATTTCCGCTGATTAGTATATAAATCCTCAGTATAGTCTTTGTTGAATAACAAATAGATCACTCTATTTTAAAAGTTTAATTTATTTTTAAATAAGTGAAGAACTGTTAAAAACTTGTGTACAAATCAAAACTTTTAAATAACCGTTAAAAAAATATTTATTCTATCCTTGGCGTTGTCTCCAAAAGTGAATTAGGTGACACCACGACACCTTTGTGGCAACGAGGTGACCACCGATAATTTAGTTTTGTCAAACATGGCCGGGAAAATTCGACCAATCTTTTCCGACCATTTTCGATAAAACGGTATCATTGAGCATCGTAAATATGTTTCATATCGTCAATTACAATTGTAAATGAATGAATTATGAAGAATATTATAAATAAATATTTATATTTTAGTGTATGTAATAGTAATACCCCATACACACCTATTACAATTTCATTTACCATTATATTATTAAATTTAACTTACGTCTCGCCCCAAAAATATCTTAGAAAGCCCATTAATAGCTGAATTTATCTAAAAAATTAATTTATAAAAATATTACAATTGATTCCAAAATTGTTCATCGCTAATAGTTTTTCCTCTAACTCTACAACATCATTATTGCATCACCCTCTTCAGTAATATTTCATGATTTTTTTTCAATTATTTCTTATTATTTTGTTTCATTGCTTTGTTAAACAAAGTATTGAAGGTCTAACACTAAGAAAATATACCCGCATAACAACTACATTATTGACCCAATAAGTTAATTAAACCAAGTTATTGACCTATTGGATTACTGTCACAATAAGTTGATTAACCAAGTTGTTAACCTTGGATTATATTATTGTCCAATATATGATTTTTCAAAGCTGATTAAGGGCTGACATAAGTTAGATATTCGCCCAATTGGTAATATATTGAAAGTATGATAAATTAATATATCTAAAAGTGTTATAAATTTTCAGGTAAAAGAAAGTTCATACATCATTTTTATATACAATTACAGTTTAATTGATTTTGTGGTTTTAATGTTCTTAATTATGGCGTGTGTAGTGTTGTCCCATTGTTCACTTACCGCAAGCATCATCCATGGAATTTTCTACTTCATCATCTTCACAGTAACACTTTCTCTTGCTGTGAGAGTTTCTACTCTTTTTAAAAACTTAAACCCCTTTTTGTTTAACTTTTCAAACTCTATCATGTTCTATTATCATATCTAATCCAATAAAATACATATTTGTTTAAATATTTGACTATTCAATTCAAAATCTCATTCTCGTCTATTCAACTCAAAATATTTAATAATTATATTTCTCAATAAAAGTTTATAAACTAACAAAAACACCACTACCCACCAACCTACCACCAACAATCGGCCATCATCGCTCAACGGTGGCTGGAAGTCGCTGAAATGACACACAATTGACTAGATCTAGCTGATTGTATGTTGATCTGGCCGTTGACGGCCATATCTTGGCCGTCGTTAATGGTCAAATCTATGGTGGATTTGGATAGAAAATGTCATATTAGCGCACGATCGGCCAGATCCAATCGGTCGTATGCCATTCTGACGACTTTCGGCCACCCATCATCTAACGGTGGTGGCCGACTACCAACAATAGTTAGATGGGTGAGAGTGTTTTTATTAATTTATAAACTTTTATTGTAGAGGTATTTAATTAAATTAACAAAATTGTTTGACACCAATCATTTTTGTGGCTACATACATTTGCATTTGACACTCACAGCTTGATCAAGTATTAGACCATTGACAAAAATATAAAGGCTATTGTTATGGCTGCTGTCCATTTATAACTCCATGTGATCAACATCTTCCTTTCTTATATAAAATTAAAGCTTCACGAGTGCACTGCACCAATGGCTTCAGTCGTCAACTCTTTACATTTTGGCATCATCGACCTTTTAGTTGCTCTCTTATGGTAATCAGTTAGTGCTTCTGCTCTTGAATATCTTCATTATCCCCTTCATATTAATTTCTCTACCACAACTTGAATTCTGTTGTCCCCCGTTGAACAAAAGTATGTTCAATTATGCAAACCTCATGGCAAACAATTTGTAAGTAGTATTCATCCGTTCATTTATAGGATATTCAAATGCTACATATTACGTACAAATAAGTTCTTTCTGAGGTGTTTACCGTTATAGACAAGTGGCTCGACTTGTTGGAAGTTTACATTAATTATACCAAAAATTAAAATTTAAATCAATGTACGTATTTGATGTTGAAATAGTAAAGAAATAACTAAAATTAAAGACAACAAGTGATATGAAAAACCACTATCAAATTGTATCAAGATTCGGATATTAGATAAACTGAAAACCCTCATATTTCTTAATACTTCATTAGCATATAATAGTTAAAAAACTTAACTTCTAGATGACAATGCCCTTTATTTATAATAAAAGTAACCTTAATTAACTAGGAGATGAATAAATTTATTAATTGAAACAAATCTATGAAAAACACCTAAACAATACATTGAATTTAATTAGGATATTATAATAAAATAAAATAAACCTAAATATAAGAAAATCCTCTTTTCTAAATAATTTTAATGATAAATGTCTTATTTATTTATAATTTAATATAATTATTAAACCTATTAATGAATGACGAGGTCTCGAAACTTCCATGCACCCACATGTATAACTAACACATCTCTAATCCCAATTCCCAACATCGGGAATCTTGTGAAAGAAGAAACCGCATTTTCTCATTATCTCTCAAACGCCAAGTGTGAAAACAAGTAAGAAAAGAAAGATGGAGAAAGGTGGTGACATAGAGAGTGGCAACTGTAATAATAAGGAACTGTATCCTGGAATGAGTGAGTCGCCGGAGCTACGTTGGGCCTTTATAAGGAAAGTTTACGCCATAATATCCATGCAGTTCCTTCTCACTTCCGCCGTTGCTTCCGTTGTCGTCTTTGTGAAGCCCATTCCTCACTTCTTCACCAACACTGCCCTCGGCCTCGTCGTCTACATCCTTATCGTTGTCCTTGCCCTCATAAGTAATAATTTTTTTTTTCTTCTTCTTTAATTAATTAATTTAGTTGGTGGGATTTTTGTTAATTAGTTTGATTTGTGGTTTTAATGTACTTAATTATGGCGTGTGTAGTGTTGTACCCATTGTCCACTTATCGCAAGCATCATCCATGGAACTTTCTTCTTCTCATCATCTTCACAGTGGATCTTTCTTTTGCTGTGGGAGTTTCTTGCTCTTTTTCAAAAGGTATAATCAATTAACCCATTTTGCTCATACTATTTTATTGCTTTAATTAACATCAGTTTTTGTAACTAATCTTTCCCTGCTCTGATTACCATAGCTTTGGATATTGGATTGTTTGATTGGATTCAGTTCGGCGGAGAGAAAACTAAACATAATTATTATAGAATTTTAATTTTGGGGTTCTCTCGGGAACCTAACAGAACCTATCACAACATTTGTTCTATGAGATATTTGTTTTTGTTCCCATTGATTTCATGAGAAATTCCCCAATTTGCGCTACAATTAACGAGTTTGCATACAATAAAAGCCTAAATTACTTTGTGAATGCTTTCTCGCATTACTGATTTTCTGCGAGACACATAGTGAATTTGGGGCTTATTTGGGAATTTTATGTTAGACTTGAGTCACACTATATCAGGATTATAACTCCTTTGACTCTCAAGAGAGCAATTGCTAACCAGATTCTGCTCATATCATGCTTCATTTTCTTTCAAAAGATAATTTGTTGAAAAGTATTTGAAGATAGTGAATTAGATCGTTGAAACATAGTCTCAATTACTTGATCATGAACAGTCTCTAGTATTATACATTTATACTTGTATATATATGTCTGGTATCATTAGACCCACCAGGTGCATGCAATATGTTTGGTCAAAGGCACTTTATAAACACTAAATGAGGCTGAAAAGCACCAACACTTTTCTAAGTTTTGATTTTAGACTTGGCGTTTTGATTTGGTTTCACTAACAGGAAGAATAATTTTGGAAGCTGCTATTCTGACCAGTGCGATGGTTGTTAGCCTCACTCTCTACACTTTCTGGGCTGTGAGAAGAGGCAATGATTTCAGCTTTCTTGGACCCTTTTTGTTCGCCTCCCTCCTGATGCTTATTGTTTTCACCCTCCTCCAGGTCTTTGTTACTTTCTTATTTCATTTGCTTATTCTATTTCTTATATATATATATGCTCTTTCCACAATTATTCTTGTATAAATTAATGAACTAACGTGTTATATTATTGTACAGATCTTTTTTCCTCTTGGAAAGCTAGCACACATGATCTTGGGTTGCTTGGCATCGATCATTTTCTGTGGCTACATTATATATGACACTTGCAACTTGATCAAGCGCTATACGTATGACGAATATATCATCGCTGCAGTCGACATATATCTTGATATCATCAACCTCTTCCTTGCTCTTCTTTCGGTTTTAGATGATGTTTGACTGATAACCTGAACATTAACCATCGCGCATATGACAAATATATCATGACTGCAGTTATTGGTTACATGGACATCAATTGACCTCTTAATTGCTCTCTTTACAGTAGTTCATTAGTGCTGGTGCTTCTTGAATATGTCTGATTGTCTTCTTTTCCTCATGTATTCCTCTAGTAAAACTTGAGTTCTCTTTTACCCTGTTGAACTTAAGTATGGTCAAGCATGTAAATATTGTGTCATGCCAAACAATTATAGTATGTGTGCATACAAATGAAGTAACAAAAACTTTCTTTAGAGTATCACAGGTTCATTTATGATTCTCTGTTATTTCTACTTATTTATTAATTTAAGTTTAATCCAGTTTGTTAGGGGTGAGAATGTGAAATTTGAATGAAAAGACCAGCGATATAATTATATTTAAGAATCTTTGGACAGGAAATTCATTAGCTAAGAGGTACATGTATGTATAGCATATTGATTTTTTTTTTTCCTATGACAAAATTATTAACTCTATGGCATTAAGAAAGCTCATTTGTATCCCAACGGGTTGGCCTAGTAGTCAAGAAGTTTTGCGCCCTTCATTGACTTTCTAGTTCCAATCATCTTGAGGCCATTATCACATTTGTGGTTTATATAGAACATTAGGTTTATACGGTGTTTAATGGTCTTTGGGGATTAGTTGAGATACGCGTAAACTGACCTAGACATCCGAGTTATCAAAAATACAAAAAGCTCAGTTGAGGAGCAATGATAGATTAGTGAAGTAATTTTCTTTTATAGATCTTGCTTTCTTTAGGCCTTGAAAATATATATATATATATATATATACCAATCACATTTAATGTAATAAAGGTAAATAAGAGAAAAAGAATTCAAAAGAAACATAAATTAATTAAGAGAAAATGAATTCAAAAGTAAAATAAATTTCATTCATAAAAATTTATGGTATGAATGTGCAGAACTCTATTGTGTTGTAAATTTTTTCTTTTTCTTCTTGTTCAATTTTATTACTCTTTTTCCTTTATTCCTTACTTGGGACTTGCGATACTCTATTTTTTGGACCCGGGTGACTTTCAAATATTGAAGTCAAATTAAATTTTCTATTTTCTATCCTACATTTAAAATTAATTAACAATGTCTAATGCGACTTGACACATAAAATACAAATTCTCAGGAAATAATAAAAGTTATACTACTATATATACTCTACTCTGCGCATAGTTATCATTCACTGCCAAGCTTCCATTTACCCACTTATAAAGACCATCCCTAAACCCAAATCATTACGAAGAATACAAAATTTTCCACCATTTTCTGTCCACCCAAACACCACAAAACAAAGATGGGGCCACAGCTACGTTGTTGGGGTTTAACAAGGAAAGCTTACGCCGTAGTCACCATGTAGTCACTGTTCCTTTTCGCTGTTATTGGTTCTGCTCAGTCCATTCGCCACTTCTTTGCCCAAACTAACCTCGGCCTCCTCGTCTATATCCTTTTCATCATTCTGACGTACCTTGATAAGTAATAAATTTAATAGTTAATGTGATTATTTAAGTTTTCCTTAATAGCATGGTGTGATTGAAAATTGAGCTTGTGTGTTGTTTATGTGGAGCGTTGTTCTTATTGTACACCTATAGCAATCGTCATCCATGAAATCCATGGAATTTCATCTTTCTTCTGCTGTTTACTGTAATGCTTACGCTCTCCGAACTAGTTTCTATCTTCCGCGCCCCCACAAAAGGTATAATTAATATAAATATATAATGGCCATCTTAATCTACATAGCTTATACTATTTCTTTCCTAAATAACTGTTTTAATTCTTGAACTAAACTTTAATTCCCTGTTATTTTATTGGAGTAGGGTTTTCCCAAAAATCCCCACAAACATTATCAATTTTATATCTTGTTTTCGTTCCCTTTACTTTCATGAGGAATCCTGTGTTTTCATTACACAACTGCATGAGCACTAATCATTTGAATTAATTAAACGCCTAAATTAGTAGTCTATCTTGTAATTCTGAATGCTTTCTCAACTGCGCTTGATGAGCAATACATGAGGTTGAAATCAAGTACATTTTTCTGAATTGTGATATTAGGCTAAGCTAGCTTTGTTGAATTCACCAACAGGGAGTAAATTTTTGGAAGCTGCAATATGCATTAGTGTTTTCCAAGTTGCCCAAGCTTTCTATTCCTGGGCTTTGGAAATACTCAAAACTAGAGGCAAAAATTCCAGGTTTCTCGTACCCCTTTTGTTTGCTTATATGCTAATGCTTATTGTTTTCTCAATCATCGTGGTCTTTGCCAATTTAATCATCCAGGTCATTGTTCTTTCTCTTTTAATTTGCATCTTTTTCCCTCTTGGAAAGCCTGCCTGCTTGACATCGATCATTTTGTGTGGCTACATTGACACTCACAGCTTTATCAAGCTTATACCTGTGACAGAAAGATCAGGGCTATATGTTATGGCTGCAGTAGATTTATATCTCGATGTCGTCTACTCTTCCTTTCTCGTCTTTCATGAGTTTTACATGATGCTGACTCACATCTCGATCAAGCATTGCACCTATGCCTTCAGCCGTCAGCTCTGTACACTTGGCATCATCGACCTCTTAGTTGCTCTATTATTGAAGTCAGTCGGTGCTTCTGCTCCTGAATATGTGCATTATCCCCCAAATATTCCTCTACCACAACTTGATTTCCGTTTCCCCCGGTTGAACTTAAATATGAGCACGCAAACTTTTTCATGGCAAACAATTGGTATATAGTATTGATGCTACATATTACGTATGGAGGAATAAAACTTTTTTAAGTCTCTTTTATTACTAAAGTTTACCATTTATTATTTTCTATCTTTCTCTGATCGATATATTAAAACTCATTGTAAGGAGAATTATTATCATTAAATTATATGCCAAATTTCTGGGTCCAAGAGTTTTATAAAACATTTTTTATGTAAAAAAAAGGGAAAACAAGAAAAAAAGATTCAGAAATAGAATAATATGTATTTCATTATTCTCAATAGCCATAAGATTTATTTTAGGGTGCTCCTTTTGTGAATTGGTACCTTATAATTGTAGTAGAGTTTAGAGTGTGAGAATGTAAGATTATATTTGAACTACAAATTGAAAAGACAGACAATGCATTAAGAGAGGAAGTTTCATTCGCATATTTAAGAATCTTTAATAAAGGAAATTAAAAGTATAACTGTTTTTCTAAATATAATACTCCTACACCGTTATATATACTATAATTATAATTTTTCTAGGGTTTTTTTTATTGTAAAACCCGGGTGTTTGATTTTTTTTTTTGAGTATGTACCTGTTAGTTCCAGAAATGCAACTCTAACCTAATGTTCTGAAACCCAAACCGCCCCTTGACCTAGTCAATGGGCCAATTCCCAAGTTGGCCAATCCGAATAGTTGGACTGCTCGGTCTGTCTGATGATGTCAGCATATCCAACAAGTTTAAAACTTAAAAGACATACCCTTGATCAAGAATAAATTTCTATTGTAGCTTTAATTTGAAGATGTTTGTATTTGAGTTGGTTTAATAACTTATTCATTACTAAATCTTCTAGGTTGTGTTTTATGCCCATTGAGCATTGTCAATATGTTTCATATAGTCAATCATAATGGTAAAAGAATGAATTATAAATAAATATTTATATTTTAGTGTATGTAATAGTAATACCCAATATATCGTATTATAATTTCATTTACCATTATATTTTTAGATTTAACTTACGTCTTATCGCACCACTCTCTTCAGTAATATTTTAGGAGTAATGCTACAGTTACCGATGGGTGTGTACTGAATTTGTGCACCGAATGACGTGACAAAATCCTGACCGTTGATTTATTATCAGTTAATATTAATCAACGGTCAGGATTTTGTCACGTCATTCAGTGCACAAATTCGGTATAAACTTTTCGGTAAGTCTATCATTTTCCATATTTTAGTTGCTCTTTAAAATCTACACCAATTTACTTACTCTTTAAACTCTTACAGTTAAACTTCAAAACTTCTATTTAAAATTATAAATACAAATTTTTTATAAACAAATGATCTCAATCATCTATGAGAAAAAGAAAAGTTTTTGATTTGATAAATCAATCGGTAGGAGTCGAATATTTCTAAAGATTTTTTTTTTTCTTTCTCACTTCTATATACCTAGACAGATTTTGCTTAATGTTCCATAGAGATGTATAATATTTTTTTGTAGTTTTATGTCTAACTTTATTAGTTATGATTAAATTTCAAATACTTATGGACTAATTGGTTTTTTTATTTAAAAAAAAAAAAATAGGTTGCTTTTAATCGAAAAATGGTTTTGCACTCTTAGATGTCAAAATTGAGAGGGTAAAAGAGCCAATTGAAGAGAGTCAGAATATGTCCGATTGATATCTTTGAGAGAGCAAGAGAGACAACTGAAATAGCCTGAGTATGTCCGAGAGATATTTGAGAGAAATTTAATTTAATTGTATAGAATTGTATTGAGTTGTGAATACACAGTCTATTTATACAAAAGTGTGATAGGTATATAAGAATATAAAATATTATAAATAATGATATAACAAAGTAAAGAAAATCATATCTTAACATAATTAGGAATGAGAATAATTCACATATTCTTATTTCATATCCAGATGATACGTGAATTAATGTCACATATTTTCTTCTCATATTCACATGTCAACATTAGACTTGTTCAATGAGTTTAATATTTTCTTAATTAAAATATATGAAGAGTAAAAAGAATAAACATCTTTTTTATGTAATTACACAATTAAAATATAACAGAGTCCTACTTTATTTAGGTTTAGTAATCCTATTACAAATATAATAACCAGAAATCCCTTCTGCATTATAATTTGGCTTCCTTTTACTTTTAGGATTAGAGAGATAGCATATTTAAGCGACTGAATTATGATTTTCTCTGCATTATCAATAAATTTTTTTGTTGAAATAGATCACAGGGTGAAAGAGATCAAGCTATGACAGGTATGATATGTTATTACTTATTACTATGATATGACTTTTTATCACTCAATTTTATTTTATTTTATTTTTTGCATGTAATTAATCATGCAAATCTGGAACAATAAAACTTATCATATGAATTTTTATCACTCTTTTTTTTTTTTTTTTTTTTTCATGAAATTAATCTTGTAGATCTGGAATAATAAAACTTCACAACCACAGGAGAAAAATACAATGAAGAGATGGAAAAACTAAGGCAGCTGCAGGCAAGAGTAAATTCCGAGTTATTGCGTCTCCAACATTTGGAAAATCGGGTTGTCCAGCGAAAGGCCCGAGCGATAGAGCGTCTGAGAGCAATTGAGAGTAGCCAGAATGATGATGCTGGACAAGCATGGAATATGAGAATAATGGAGGACACGGAGGTTTCAATGGCTAAGATTCAAGCCCATCGAGTAGAGGGTATGAGCATAATGAAGAGTATCGAGGACTCAATTACTAAGCTTAACGCTGATCATGAGGTGGACATATTGGCAGATGCAATTCAAAGAATGAGGAATGAAGGTGAAAATATGAGGCTTTATTATATAATGGGCAAAATACTTTCTTTGATTGATTGATTGAATGTCAAAACATTAGATGTTTGAAGGACAAATATTAAATCTCATTATAGGATTAGGCAGCTTATTATTGGAAAAAGGCCACTACTTTTAAGGTTGGCTCACCACTTTATACCATAATTTCTAATCAGCACTTTTTCTAAATCAAACAGAACCAATGAAACCATAAAAAAGCCTTTCTTTAATTTTGGACTCAGAAGAAATAATTTAAATGACTTATTCTCCTCTTCCCATCATTTATATAAGAAAAATGCTACCCTTACTCACTCCTTCTACTCACTTCTCTTACTCACCTTTGTTAAAATGATATATGGTACCCGTACTATGCTATATATTTACAAAGGTGAGTAAGAAAAGTGAGTAAAGGGAGTGAGTAAGGCTAGCATTACTCTTTATATAAAGGGTTTAAACGAATTACCTCTCCTGTGGTTTTCAAAATTAACAGTTGGTCCCTTGGTTATGCAAATTATCCAACTACCTCCCTCGTCATCAATTTTTGCCGTTAAATCTAACTGTTGACTTACGCAATGACCAAATTACCCATAAAAATGAGTTTCTACAAAATTAAGAAAAACATATCTAAATATTTAATAAAAAAAAAGATTTCACTTGACATCAAACTTCAATAAAAGTACCTATAACATAAATTTTTTTAAACAATTAAAAAACCTGAAAAAAATATTGTTGATGCGTGATTTTTACACCAACGAAACGCACGTGTGAAATGCTGAGCTGGCTCAGAAGACACACGTGAATGTAAGAAAAAGAGAGTAAATACAATGAGAAAAGCGTTTTTAAAGTGGTTCGGATGCTAAGGAAGCAAGTCATACGTCCACTGTTATTTTATTAATGATGGGGGTCAGGTTGCATTAGCTGACTGACTTACAAATGATAGTACAAGCGAGTGAATGCTATAAATGATAGAAAGAGAGTAGCTAATCAAGAGTAAAAATGAGCCAAATCCCCTGAATGAGAGAGGAACTCTCAATTTATAGTGGGATGCATTGAGGCAATCATTACCGAATCTGTGAGTTGGTGGGATTATCCGTGCAAATCCTTCTTTATGTTACATTGCCCACCTTCTAGAGTGATTTGCGCGATTTGGCGCAGGGATTGGACACGTGGGATCACCACATCTTTTGGCTGGTCTGGCGCGCACCCACTATTCTGACAGAAGCAGGCTGCAGGTGTACCCATGTTTTGACTTTTGCATGTTGACAGGGCCTTACGTCAGCCCTTATATTTTTCAGGCATAACAGAAGTCCCCTAGTTTTTAAGGTTTGAGAATCGAACCTTGGAAACTATAAGTCATGCCGCGATTGGATGATTTCTGGAAATTCCGGTGATTCCGACCTGATTGAAATTAGGTCGGCGTAGCACTTTTTGCGAACATGACCTCGCATGGTCCTTGTTTGCAGAGGATGAGCAAAGAAGAGAAGGCAAATTCAGGTCGAAGAGTCAGAGTCTGATTCCTAGGGCGATTAACCCTGAAGGTCGCAACCAGACGTCGCGAAGAGGTCAGGTAAAGAACCAGCGAACGACACGATCTCTGCTAAAGGTGCGAAGAAGGAAACTCCAGTGCTGGACTCGCTGGGGAACCTGTCGGAGTACCTGCATCCGATAGTCTATACTTTGCTAGAGTACGGACTCTTGGAAGCATTCGAGCAGTTCGTAGGTTCCAGCGACGTGGACCTAATGTCCACATCGCTCCAGCACTTAAGCAAGGTAAACGAACTTTCCTCAGCGAGGACTTCCCTTAGCTCCTTTTGATAAGCTAACTTTATCTTTTCTTGTTCGCAGGCCCTGCTTTCCATGCAACTGTCCCTGGAAAAGGTTCGACTGGGAGCTGCAAAGGAGGAGGTCGCACCGAAGGAGGAGAACGCAACGCTCAAGCGAGGCTTGGAAGCTGCCAAGGCAGAAAGAAACCTATCTTTTGAGTCGGCGAACCGATACCTAAGCGAAAGGGACGCTGCTCTTCGTACAGTGGACTTCCAAAAAGCCGAGCTCGAGAAGCATGCAGAGAAAGTAAAGGAACTCCAAAGGACTATAGTCAGACTCTCCAAAGAGGTTGGAGAGAGGGACCAGGAGCTGAAAACGACCTCTCTGCGGGCCTCGCAAGCAGAACAAGAGAAGGATGCCTCCGAGAAGCAAAGAAAAGCTCTCGAGGCAGAACTTCAAGCTAGTTAGGGAAAAGTTGCTTCCCTGACCGAAGAGATGTAGAATAAGGCAGCAGAGGTCGAGGAAAAGGCTGTCGAATGGGCAATCGAGTCTATCTATGCCTTGCGGCCGAAGAATCAGTATATCGATATTTCTGACCTCCCGGAGGACTGCCAGGAAACTCTCAGGTCCACGGCGCGGCAGGATGATGAAACGGCGACCGCCCGAAATTTTGATCAGATAGAGGGTTCGGGACACGCCTCAAAGAAGCCCCCAGCCGACCAGCCTTAGGATGATGAGGTCGGTCTTCCAGGATTCAGATTAGGGCTGACAATTGTACCATTTTGCCTGCTGTACTCTTCGCATTAATGAAATACATTTTGCTTTTACAATTTCTGTTCGCTTTATTATACATGAGTTTACATTTTGTCGTACATTGGAACAAGTTTATGCGAACATGATATCATATTTATACGAACAAGATTACATGCGAAGACTGTTACAAGCGAATAGAATAATACTTAAAAGGAAAACTGAGTTCGGAATTACTGATAGTAAGGTCGAAGATGCTCAGCATTCCAAGCTCGGGGTACTTTGGAACCATTCAGCCTTTTCAGATAATAAGTCCCTAGTCTTATCACCTTGTCGATGCAGTACGGACCTTCCCAGTTCGGTCCTAACACTCCTGCACTTGGTTCCCTAGTACCGAGAAGAACTTCCTTCAATATAAGGTAACCGACTTGGAAGTCTCTTCGTCTAACCTTCGAATCAAAGAACCTCTTTGCGCGTTCTGATAGGCTGCTATTCTTAGCGATGCCTTGCTGTGATGTTCTTCAACAAGGTCTAGACTTGCTCGCATAAGTGCTTCATTGTCGGCTTCATTGTACAAGTCCCTCCATAGCAAACCGGTCCCTACCTCTACAAGGATCATCGCTTCGCAACCGTATGCTAGCGAAAAAGGGGTTTCTAAGGTAGAGGTTCTCGAAGTTGTCCTATACACCCATAGGACTTCGGGGAGGTCGTCGGCCTAATTCCCCTTGGCTGCGCCAAGTTTGGCCTTTAGAGTGTGCTTGATGGTTTTGTTGACAGCTTCAACTTGACCATTTGCTTACAGTCTTGCGACTGAGGCAAATTTTTTATGGATGCCCAACTCGTCGCAAAACTGCTTGAACTCCTCGTTATCGAACTGTTTTCCGTTATCCGAGATGAGGGTATGAGGAATTCCGTAGCGGCACACAATATTCTTGAAGACAAAATCTTTGAGTTTCTTGGTCGTGATCGCGGCTAGCAGTTCAGCTTCCACCGAATTGGTAAAGTAATCTACCGTGACCACGGCATAGTTGACTCCCCCTCTACCGACTGGCATGGGACCGATGAGATCGATTCCCCACATGGAAAATGGCCAGGGGCTAGTCATTGTTATCAGTTCGTGAGAAGGAGCTTGCGGTATGTTCGCGAACCGCTGACACTTGTCACACCTCTTGACAAAGTTGTAGGCGTCTTCTTGGATTTGGGGCCAATAATACCCTTGACGAACAACCTTGTTCACAAGAGATCGTACGGTGGTGTGGTTACCGCAGATCCCTTCATGTATTTCCTTCATGACGTAATCTGCTTCTTCGCTGGTTACACATCAGAGGAAAGGGGTGCTAAACCCTCGCCTGTACAGTTGGTCCCCGATAAGGGTGTAACGAGCAGATCTTGTTCGCAGAACCCTTACCTCAACCTTGTCGTCAGGCAAGGTCCCATCCTTGAGGTATTGGAAAATGGAAGTCATCCAGGAATCTGATTCTGTTACATTCATGGCCTGTTCGATCGGGCTGATACTGGGGGTCTCAATGAATCGAACAGGAATGCTATCTGGTGCTTCTGAGTCCAGCGATGAGGCTATCCTTGCCAAGGCATCTGCCATAGAGTTGTTATCTTTGGGAATCTGGGTGATCACGAAATGCTTGAACTGCTCGAGTGCGGCCTTAGCTTCCTTTAGATAGCGAATCATATTTTCTTCTTTGGCTTGGTACTCCCCTAAGATCTGGTTAACGACCAGCATGGAGTCGATGTGGATGCTGATCGCGGTTGCACCCATTTCTCTGGCCAACCGCAATCCGGAGAGCAGAGCTTCATACTCGGCCTCACTGTTGGTTGTCTTAAATCTGAACCGGAGGATGCCATGAACGCGAGCCCCTTCGGGACTCAAAAGGAGAAAACCTACACCAGCCCTCTTTCTGTTCGATGATCCATCGACGTAGAAGCTCCAGGTTGATAGATTCTGAGCAGTTTCCTGGATAGCTTCGCTGGGCTGTTGCTCCAACTCACTTGGAAGATAGGAGAATTCTGAAATGAAGTCAGCAGCCTGCCCTTTGATAGTCGACCTTGGCTTGTACTTCAGATCAAACTGACTTAATTCCATGGCCCATTTAAGCAATTTACCCAACGCCTTTGGCTTCTGAAGGACCTACCTGAGCGGGTAATTAGTCATTACATGGATCGTATGGGCGTGGAAGTAAGGTCGCAACTTTCTGGAAGAGATCAGCAGGGCATAAGTTAATCGTTCCATTTTTGGATACCGCATCTCGGCATCCAACAAACGCTTGCTCGCGTAGTATATTGGCCATTGGACCTTTTCCTCTTCCCGAACTAAGGATGCACTGATCGCGAACTGAGAGATGGACAGGTACAAGAGTAGGATCTCTTGCGGAAGAGGCTTGGACAGGAGAGGTAGCTTCCCGAGATGTTCTTTTATACTTTGAAACGCTTGTTCGCACTCGGGAGTCCACTTGAACTTCTTATTGGCCTTCAGAACATTGAAGAACGGCAAACAACGATCTGTTAGCCTCGATATGAAGCGACTCAGCGCCGCTACTCGCCCATTAAGGCTCATGACCTGCTTTTTGCTGATCAGGCTTTCCATATCGAGAAGAGCTTAAATTTTCTCGGGGTTGAATCCTATTCCCCGTTGGTTAACCATGTATCTTAGGAATTTTCCTGAGGATACTCCGAACGAACACTTGAGAGGATTCAGCTTCATTCTGTGTAGTCGGAGGATATCAAACATCTCAGCGAGATGCGCTATGTGATCTGAAGCGACATGGGATTTGACCAGCATGTCATCTACATAGACCTCCATTGACTTACCGATCTGGTCAGAGAACATCCGATTAACCAATCGCTGGTAGGTCGCGCCAGCGTTCTTGAGGCCGAAGGGCATAACTCTGTAGCAGTACAGTCCCCAATCTGTAATAAAAGATGTATGCTCTTCGTCCGACGCGTACATCAGAATTTGATTATATCCCGAGTACGCGTCCATAAAACTTAGCAGCTCGTGCCTCGAGGTGGTATGCACGAGCTGATCGATTTTGGGTAGGGGGAAGCTATCTTTAGGGCATGCTTTGTTGAGGTCACTGAAGTCGACACAGGTTCGCCACTTTCCATTGGGCTTCTTTACCAGAACCGGGTTGGCAACCCAGGTCGGGTAGAGTACTTCCTGGATGGACCTGTTTCGAATGAGGTTATCCACCTCTAGCTTTAAGGCGGCATATTGCCCCGAATCCATCGCTCTTCTTTTTTGGTGAACTGGCTTGGCTTCGCTGTCGATGTTCAATGCATGGTAGATGATATCCGGGCTGATCCCGACCATATCTGCGTGCGACCAAGCGAACACATCGATGTTTTCCTTGAGAAAGCTGATCAGCTCGGAGGCGAGCTGGGGGTTGAGATTGCTCCCAATCCTTAACATTCGTCTCGGCTCGCGCTGGTCGACCGATACCTCGGATAAATCCTCAACTGGCCCACTGGAAGGGCTTTTCTGGATTCAAGGATCCATATTATCCTCGGCTGGACCAGGCTGTGGCTCAATCCGGCTGATCGCCATAGCCTGTCGGGGAATGCCACACGAAATACCCTTCCCTTTGCACGCCATTTGCACTGCTTTTATGTAACAGTCGCGAGATGTGCTCTGAGATCCGCTAACTTCCCCTATCCCTGTCGAGGTGGGGAACTTCATCTTCAGATGGTATATCAAAGTGACTGCCTTGAAGTTTCTTAGTAGAGGTCACCCCAGGATTCCATTGAAGGCAGATAGGCAATCCATGACCAAGAATTCAGTAACCTTAGTCACTTCGTCATAGTCACCCAACGTGACTAGAAGTTGGATCGTTCCTTTGGGGATCAGGTGGTCCCTTGTAAAACTATAGAGGGATCGAGGCGGGCTTCAGGTCGGCCTCGTACAAGTTCATTCTTTCGAAAGCAGTCTGGAACAGGATATTCACAGCACTTCTGTTGTCCACTAGCATCCTGCGGACGTTATGGTGCACTACGAGGGGCGTGATCACAAGAGCGTCATCGTGGGGATGATGCAAATGGGTTGCATCCTTTTCAGAGAAGGTGATTGGCTCCTCCTTGCGAACCTTTTATGGTCACTGTGACGTGTTTATCACACTGATTAGGTCATGATGAGCCGCGCGAGCATATCTTTCATGGGCACCTCACGTGTTCCCCGCGAGGTGCGGCCCTCCAAAGATCATGTTGACACTGCAATATCCTATGCAATCACGACGCTTCTTTCCTTGATCCCTTTAACTTTTCTCTTGTACGGGAGCGAAGTAGTCAATATACTCCTTGAAATGCCCCTTCTTGATGAGTTCTTCGATTGCCTGCATGAGAGCTCGGCACTCTTCGGTGCGATGCCCGTTATCCCGATGGAAGTGACAGTACTTTTTATTATTTCGGGCTAACGCGGGAGTTTTCATGGGCTCAAGCTCTCCGAGCAGGCTGGCTTCTTCTAATTTATCAAGAATAGCTGATACAGATGCATTCAGAGGCGTATATTGGTCTCTATCGCGATCGCGACGAGGGACAAGAGCATAAGACTTTTTGGGCTCGTAGCGAGATTTCTTTCCTTTTCGCTGATCGTCAACAGCCCTCCTGCGATCAGCTCTTCCACTTTCCCCCGGACCAGACGTATTGCTTGACGCGCCGAGGTCATGACGGCGGAGCGCCACCAATGAATTTTTAATCCGGAGGTATTTCTC